GTTGGTGTGTGTGTGTGTGGGTGTTGGTGTGTGTGTGTGTGTGTGTGTGTGTGTGTGTGTGTGTGTGTGTGTGTGTGTGTGTGTGTGTGTGTGTGTGTGTGTGTGTGTGTGTGTGTGTGTGTGTGTGTGTGTGTGTGTGTGTGGGTGTGTGGGTGTGAGTGTGGGTGTGTGTGTGAGTATGAGTGCGTGCGTGAGGTTGCGTGACGTGAGTGGAAGGACGTGGTGGGAGTGTGTGTGTGTGTGTGTGTGTGTGTGTTTGTGTGTGTGTGTGTGTGTTTGTGTGTGTTTGTGTGTGTTTGTGTGTTGGTGTGGTTGTGTGGTTGTTTGTGTGTGTGTGTGTGTCTGTTTGTGTCTTTTTGTGTGTGTGTGTCTTTGTTTGTGTGTTTGTTTGTGTGTTTGTTAAGTGTGCTTGTTTGTGTGTTTGTTTGTGTGTTTGTTTGCGAGTTTGTTGGTGGGTTTCTTTGTGTGTTTGTTTGTCAGTTTGTTTGTGTGTTTGTTTGTGTGTTGTTTGTGTGTTTGTTTGTGTGTTTGTTACGTGTGTTTGTTTCGTGTGCATGTGCGTGTGCGTGTGCGTGTTGTGCATGTGCGTGTTGTGCGTGTGCGTGTTGTGCGTGTGCGTGTTGTGCGTGTGCGTGTTGTGCGTGTGCGTGTTGTGCGTGCTGTGCGTGTTGTGCGTGTTGTGCGTGTTGTGCGCGTGCGTGTTGTGCGTGTGCGTGTTGTGCGTGGTGTGCGTGTTGTGCGTGTTGTGCGTGTGCGTGTTGTGCGTGTGCTGCTTGTGCGTGTTGTGCGTGTGCGTGTTGTGCGTGTTGTGCGTGTGCGTGTTGTGCGTGCTGTGCGTGTTGTGCGTGTTGTGCGTGTTGTGCGTGTTGTGCGTGTTGTGCGTGTTGTGCGTGTTGTGCGTGTTGTGCGTGTTGTGCGTGTTGTGCGTGTTGTGTGTGTTGTGTGTGTTGTGTGTGTTGTGTGTGTTGTGTGTGTTGTGTGTGTTGTGTGTGTTGTGTGTGTTGTGTGTGTTGTGTGTGTTGTGCGTGGTTTGCGTGTTGTGCGTGGTGTGCGTGTTGTGCGTGGTGTGCGTGTTGTGCGTGGTGTGCGTGTTGTGCGTGGTGTGCGTGTTGTGCGTGGTGTGCGTGTTGTGCGTGGTGTGCGTGTTGTGCGTGGTGTGCGTGTTGTGCGTGGTGTGCGTGTTGTGCGTGGTGTACGTGTTGTGCGTGGTGTGCGTGTTGTGCGTGGTGTGCGTGTTGTGCGTGGTGTGCGTGTTGTGCGTGGTGTGCGTGTTCAGCGACACGCGAGGTGTACGTGTTGTGCGTGGTGTGCGTGTGTGCGTGGGTGTGGTGGTGTGGCGTGAGTGTGCGGTTGTGCTGTAGTGCGTGTTGTGCGTGTGCGTGTTGTGCGTGTGCGCGTTGTGCGTGTGCGCGTTGTGCGTGTGCGTGTTGTGCGTATGCGTGTTGTGCGTATGCGTGTTGTGCGTATGCGTGTTGTGCGTATGCGTGTTGTGCGTGTGCGTGTTGTGCGTGTGCGTGTTGTGCGTGTGCGTGTTGTGCGTGTGCGTGTTGTGCGTGTGCGTGTTGTGCGTGTGCGTGTTGTGCGTGTGCGTGTTGTGCGTGTGCGTGTTGTGCGTGGGCGTGTTGTGCGTGGGCGTGTTGTGCGTGGGCGTGTTGTGCGTGGGCGTGTTGTGCGTGGGCGTGTTGTGCCTGGGCGTGTTGTGCCTGGGCGTGTTGTGCCTGGGCGTGTTGTGCCTGGGCGTGTTGTGCCTGGGCGTGTTGTGCGTCCTGCGTGTTGTGCGTGTGCGTGTGTGAGAGTGTGAGGGTTTCGTGCGTGGCGTGTTGTGCGATCCGTCGTGTTGTGCGGTGCGTGGGTTGTGTGCGTGTGCGGTTTGCGTGGCGTGTTGGTCGGTGCGCTGTGTGCGTGTGAGTTCGTATGTGGTGTGCGTCGGTTTGTGCTGTGTGCGGCGTGTGCGTGTGAGGCGTGTGAGTGTGCGTCGTCGTCGTGTTGCGTCGTGTGCGTTGCGTGTGTGCGTGTGAGTCGTGTGCGTTGTGAGTCGGGGTGAGGGCTTGTGCGGTATGTGCGTGTGCGTCGTGTGCGTGTGCGTCGTGTGCGTGTGCGTCGTGTGCGTGTGCGTCGTGTGCGTGTGCGTCGTGTGCGTGTGCGTCGTGTGCGTGTGCGTCGTGTGCGTGTGCGTCGTGTGCGTGTGCGTCGTGTGCGTGTGCGTCGTGTGCGTGTGCGTGTGCGTGTGCGTGTGCGTGTGCGTGTGCGTGTGCGTGTGCGTGTGCGTGTGCGTGTGGGTCTGTATCTGTGTCTTTGTCTGTGTCTGTGTCTGTGCCTGTGTCTGTGTCTGTGTCTGTGTCTGTGCGCGTGTGTGGTGTGTGTGTGTGACTGTGACGTTGTATGATGCATGTGTATGTGTGTATGTGACGTCGTGCGTGTCATGCATGTGTCTGTGTGTGTGACGCACACGTGGTGCGGGCGTCGGTCCAAAGAAAACAAGAACCCCACACAGTGATGCGGGGAAAAATACTAATAATGGTATAGTACTTAACATACTACTAATATTAATAATGGTCTTAATGAGGTCATTAGTAGGTAGCATTGTCACGGACCTGGGAGTCACAGATTTGCGTTCCGTTCGCATGGCCTTATTTTTTGTTGCTGTCGGTGGCGAGGACGCCTTGGTTTTTTTTGATGTCGGGCTGCTTTTGTGTTTTGCTCTCGTGGCGGGGGCTCGCTCACTCCCGGGATCACCGAGGCCCGCCTCTACAGCAAAACAAGCCACTGCAGCAAAAAAACACGGAAGCTTAGCATAAGTTGGTGCTCGCGGCGCTGGCGAAAACCGCGAGCGCTTCCCTGGGCAGACGCTGCTTGCGTAGTGTGACGGGCCTTGGCTGAGCCCTGCACTATTGGAGGCAATGCGTGAGAAGGCATTGCTGCTGTTGCAAATCGGAAGCGAGAGGGCCAGCCGACGCCAGCGTGCCTTCGAGATTGCGTCTTCCAAGGACCCTCAACCTGCTGGAACCCCACAGCTAGATGACAGGGAGACTTCACACCACCGCAAGCACTTGCTCCAAAGACGCAAAAGGGCACAGGAACCAAAAACTCAATGCTCCGCGAACTGCTCCTGCAGTGAGGATCACACAGGCACATAGGACGGAAAGACTCGACAAAGCCTACCGCTACTTGTGCAGCGTATGGACCGACGCGACGAAACGCGCTGGGCCAGTCGAGGCGGTCGAGGCCGTCGAGGCGGGCGAGTAAAATTAACATGATCCAGCAGCCAGACTTTCGGGCCTGGAAGCAGGCGTTGACTCGACAGCTCAACGGATGGATCGCTGCGGAATTGTCACGACGCATTGCGGACGTAACAGGCCCAGCAAAACAAAGTCGACCGCCGAAGATTTTGGCGAGAATGGGTCGAAAAGTTGGCTCACCACGCAGAAGCCGATTGTCTGCATTGGAAAGATGTTTTCGGGAGGGTTCGCACTCTTGCCGTTCTAGCTCCAAAGGCCGCCGCGCGTCACTCGGGACAACAGCAAGGACATCCCGCGCGCGCTGTGGTTCGATGGGAGGTGTGGGAGAGGGCGATCGGAATGTCCCCACGCCTTTCCCCTGCAAAGGTCGTCAAGAGAAAAAAGACTCTGCTTCCTGATTTGTGATCTCGTGGCAAAGCAAGACTGCCCAGCCTTGAGCGAGGCTGTGGCAGACGGCCGGCGAGTAGGGGGGGGGAGGTAATTAAGGGCCTTCGGCCCGGTGTCTTGCTCCACGGTGTATCACGTCGTCTCGTGTCGTGTTCCGTTAGCTTTTGGCTTATCCTGCGCGTCTGCTCCGCAACTTTGCGAGCGCTGGTCAGCTCACCCGGTCCAAGTGCCTTTGACCTCCATCGGATCGTCCGTGGACTGCTCTGGGCCCCCTAGCACTACTCAACGTCCAGAAGCCGTGTCGAACTCGTCACGTTCCGATATCCGAAGAAGGAGCAATCCCATTTCCGCCTTTTTGCTTCCGATTGGGGCGAGTTGAATCATTCGAGTGCGCATGAATTACCCTGGCTGTTCCCCGTAGACGGAGAGGGCTTTGAGGTTCCTCTGGGGGGCATGGGGTCCTCTGTAGTGCTGTGAGGTTCCCTAATAACGACAGCCCCCGTGTCTCTGTACACTTGCAAGCAGTTCTGCTTGTAGAGACCTTGCGCTGGTGGTGTGAAACAGGGCGGCAGCACTGAGAGGGTGCCCCAAAGAGAAGAAGCCAATGTAGGGGCCTGAATAGTTAGAATAGGGTTTTGGGGAGTTATTATAGCATGATTACAAAGGGACCATAAGGGAATACGATTAGTCACTACTCCGACGGTTCCCTATATTCGGATGCTGATGCTCCGTTCTGGGAACCAAGACCTTGGGTGAGGAGCATTGTGGGGTGGGCAAGCTGGTCCTAAACCCCAAACCTTAAACCCTAAACCCTAAACCCCAAACCCTAAACCCTAAAACCCTAAAACCCTAAACCCTAAAAACCCTAAACCCTATTGAAGAGGCACGTGATGAGATGCCCTCAGAGCGCTTGCGAGTCGATGCATTCAGCGCATCACTCCTGGAGTGTGTGGGGAAACTTATAACCTACTGGTGTAGGGTTTAGGGTTTAGGGTTTAGGGCTTAGGGTTTAGGGTTTAGGGTTTAGGGTTTAGGGTTTAGGGTTTAGGGTTTAGGGTTTAGGGTTTAGGGTTTAGGGTTTAGGGTTTAGGGTTTAGGGTTTAGGGTTTGGGGTTTAGGGTTTAGGGTTTAGGGTTTAGGGTTTAGGGAGACCCCTTGTGGAGAGCCCCTACTCTCCTTTTGGGGGGGGCGTAGAGCTTTACCACCAGCTGACTTTCATATGACTTTCTCTCAGGGCGTGTCAAGTTCAGGGTCACCGCTTTGAGGGACTTCCAGCTCCCCACTTTGCAGAATCCCTGCCAACTCCTTTTACATGCCCCTCTCCAGAATAAGCACTGCTCTAGAAAGTTTACTATAAAGCATACTAGAGGCTTTTAGCAGCACTCGAGTCCCGCAAGCTTTGAGGGACGAGAAGGAGAAAAAAAAAAACAGCGGCCACATAGGCAGGAGGGTGCTTAAGTACGGGGGAGCCCCTCTCACTCCAATTTTGAGAGGGTGTGTTGCCCAGCGCCTCGGCACCCTCCGGGACCGGCGGAGCCTCCGAAGGCCCCGCAGCCGCATCTGGCACACAGGTTCTCGGTCTACGACAGGTTCTTATTCCCTCTTTGAGGGGTTAAGTCGGGTGCCAGTGGCCGCTGCTTATGCTGTCTCATTGCCAGGAACCTTACAATCCTGCCCGCCCGATAGGGCTCTTACAGGACGCTTAGGGGCCGTAGGCTTCGGAGGCTGAAGGTTCGGAGCCTCTGCTGAATTTGTCTGGAAGCTTGGGTATCCCTAAACCCTAAACCCTAAAGCCTAAACCCTTAAGCCCTCAACCCCCCGAACAGCAGCGGCCTTTCGCGTAGCTCTGGGAGTCACGGAAGCCTTGCTGGATGATGGTCGCCGCCTCAGAGCCATCTCAAAAACTTACTCTTGGGGGCCTGCATTTAGAACGGGTCATTGAATGGGAACCAGAAGGGAATCAGATTAGTAACTCTTTCCGACCCCGATATTCGTTGAGGACTCGTGCTGACCTTAGGATCCGACAGTTCGGGGGGGTTTACGACAATAGGGGACCCCTAACATAGACCCCCCAAATAGTAGGATTCCCTTGTAGTAAGGACCCAATAAGGTACCCCTAATCTCGGAAGCCCCCCATTTTCGAGTGCAGTGTGGTGCTTGAGGCTTGGGTTTGCATGCGTTTACGTCTTGAAAGGGTGGGGCTTTTCTTGGGGTGTCATCAACGGTTTGATAGTTTTGGGGTTTGTTCAGAGGCGATCTGAAATCCACCACCCAGCTCTGAAAGTTTTAATGCCTTGATCCTAGGACAGTTTGTATGATAGCCACGGTGACAGCAAGAGCGACAGTGGAAGGAGTTCCTAGCAACAGCAGCGACCATTTAAAAAAACACCGACTAAGAACAAATCATAACCGTAACAAGGCTAACATGGTGCAACGGTGGACATGTTGTAAAGAGTTATAGAACTACTGAGAATTACTGATACTAACTTGATGGACCCTTGTGCCGCGCCTTGCGCTGCTGCAGCGATCGCTCCCGCCTCCGCGCGCGCTCGGCCTCAGTGGAGCGAAGCGGTAGACGCTCTATTCCTGAACCGAGAGAAAGACTCTCTCGCTCTCTCTCTCTCTCTCTCTCTCTCTCTCTCTCTCTCTCTCTCTTTCTCTATATTCAACTATAAGTACAAATATACTACAAATGTGAATCTAAATAAAACTCTAACAATAAATATGAACAAACGCGATGCGCAACTGTCGCTCACTTTTGAACGTTCCGTGCTCGCCAAAGGCGATACAAAACTGTCGTCGCTTGTGGGCCTCTGGGCTCTTTGTGGTGTCTGCTGTGCTCTCTTGATTCACTTGATCCACTGGAGAGTGCCCCTCTCAACACGGTCTCACTGCTTGGGGCCTCTTACGGCAAGGGCCTGGCCTCAGCAAACGATCCTCACCAACAGTAACAACTAACAGCCTTAAACCCGAATGAGGGAGGAGCTTTCTTGGGAGAAGTACTCGGGCACCCCCTACTGTGCATTTCTGCGACGCCCGCACCTCAGGGATGTAGCGCAGCCACTTGCGCCAGTGGCGCTGCACCAGGATCACCTGGCCCAGGTGAGGTCTAGAGGCCTATAGGGATGAAGGCTTAAGTTTTAGGACCCGGTTTCCATTGATGACCATGATGCCTCATGCCTCCTTCCAGCCTTTACAGAGGGCTCTCAATTCCCCGCGCTCTCACGCACTTTCGGCTATGTCGAGATCTTCAGCCGGAAGCCTGCCGCGGCAGTGACCGCCCAAAAAAATGAATAAAGACTCCCCCACGATCACATGTGGCAACCGCCAGACCCTCGCGAGGAGGTGAAAGCGCCGGGAGCGAACCAGGAACCTTCTCGGGGGCGCTCTTGCTTTTGGTAATTCGTTTGGGGGTGTAGCTTTGAGGTGCTTGCAGGACGTTTTCGGGACAGGAGCTTGGACAGGTTCATGCAAGCCAGCAATGCTGCCAACACTATACTGGCGCTCTCGCTCTTGAGACAGGCGAAGACCCATTCTTGCATCAAAAGGAGGTCCTCCGATTGTCCAACTGCCTTGAGGTGTCTTCTGCCGAGCTGCGTTCGGCACATCGACTGGATCTTGACGAGTTGCTGCCGTCGATCCTCACCAGAGAGAAGTGAAGCCCTTACCAAAGCAGCCTTGAAGTTCCCAACAAATCTGCATCCCCCAGAGGCGGCGCGCGAAGGGTGGGGGCGGGGGGGGGGGGGGTCAGGTGATGATTCAAGTTGCTTGGGAGTTGCACAGGCATTGCATCAGGGTTTGAGCTAAGCTTCTCAGAGGAGACGTCACCAAAGCGTTCCAAAGCCATGGGAATATGCCATATTTGAATACAACTGCTCACCCAAGAACGAGCATGTCGACCTGGTCCCTCCGCTGGCAGCGCAGGCGGTGACCCCGCCAGATGCGCTGGATGGTCGTGGCGGCCTGTGCCCGGGCATTGCTTTGGCAGGGCGTCCACCCGCTTTGACCCACTAGGCCCAGAGACCCTAAACAGTCTTACGACCTCTCTTGGAACCCGTAAGCACCCTTGAGAGCCTTGAAGCCCCTACAGGTCATTTGGCGACCCCCACACCCCAAATTGTCTGGACCCATGACTCTCATAACTTTGCTCTTACAGGGTCTCATTTTTACAGGAGTGTTGGTGCCTCCCAGATACAGGATACAATATGGGAACATATAGGGCCCGCTATAAGGCCCCTCAGGGTGGCCTCCACTTTTCGGCGCCAGAAAGCCTTAACCTGATTCGGGGGGCGGCAGGCTGTCACAAGGGTGGTCAAAGCTTTGGGAAGTTGAGGCGATTGAGGATTGTGAGAAAGGGGGTTCGAAAAGATGTAGGTAGATGTAAGGGTTAGATCTTGCCTTCTTGCTTAGGGGCCTAAACTTGAGGCTCGGAGTTCATGTGTTGTTTTGGGGGAGTTGTTGTCGGCGTGTGCATACCTGACTCCGCTTTTCCAAACCGACTGCCTGGAATGAGCCATTTAGGCGGAGATTGTGCTTGGCACCTTCTCCCCCTCTTGGCCTCGATCGGCTAAATCGAGAGCTCTCCAACTCTTCAACTTATAAGCCTTGGAATCAGAGCGTCCTACGCAACTCAACCCTCAATCGGCTAGCTTTAAGCCTGCACCCCGCTCATGCTCGTGCTTCTGCTCTGGGCTGCCGGGCGCGCTTGCGGCAGAGCACGCCGCGCGTCAGCCTCCAGTTTCTTTGCTGGATGCATTAGGGTTTAGGGTTTCGGGTTTAGAGTTTGGGGTTTAGGGTTTTCGGTTTAGGGCCTGGGGTTTAGGGTAAAAAGGGCTCATAGGATTGAGGCAAAACCGTTCTAAGCCCATGTTTCCTTGATCGGGGTTTCTGCCATGCAGGGTGCTGTGATCAGCTATGCAAGGTCATGGATGGCGGCTTTGAGCTGTCCGAAGCTGGTGTGCAGGGCTTATCGTTTTTGTTTGGCTTTCCAACCCTATCGACAACCCCAAGGAGCCTGTTGTCCCCGGCATTGCTCCCCTCTGAGCCCGAAATTCCGACCCAACAGTCTGCCACATCTGGGGAGAACACGCTTGGATCTTCTGCGCGGCCTTGAACCGCCTGCGCTTTCAAGAGAGAGTAGAGTAGAGGGAGCTTCTCGAGTTTGTTGGGGTGTGGGGCAGTTCCTATTTCTTTGCAAGGGAGGATACGGATACGGTGTCAATGAAGAGAGAGAGAGAGAGAGAGAGAGAGAGACACACACAAAACAAAACACAAAGAGTCATTCCCGACATTGTTGGCGTCCCAGAATATCTGCAATGGTTCCCTGTGCTGAGGACTCGAAGATGCGCGGTGGGAGGGAGGTTCGGGCTGCGCGCACGGGAAGCTAAGAGGTTGCTGGGTCATGAGGGAGGTCAAAAGAAACGAATTTGGGGTTGAGGGTTTCAGTGTGCAGAATCCCACCTCCTTGCTCTTTCGAACTCTGCACGCGCTTTGCGCTTGCGCCGGCCGGTCACCTTTGGGGAGGGTGCTGTCCCAGTACGGTACTTTTGGCAACACAACCCACGGGGGGGTCACGCTGACTCAAGCCGTCATATCTTGCCTGAGATGTAAACCCGCGAACCCTCTCCCTGTACGCCTGGAAGCCCTTCAGCCCGTAATTCGCGCTCCCTCTCAACAGCGTTGCAAAACTCCCCGAAATCCCCCCAAGCTTGAGCTCCCGGCGGCACTTCTGGCCAGCCAGCCCCTAACGTTCCTCGCAAGGGCGGGTTTTGACTTGGGTCCCTCTTGCAGCCTTCAGCCATGCTGCCAGATTGATGCGAAGCACAGCAACAAAGGAAGGACTCTTGGCTCAAAGGAAGGACTCCTGGTTCACGCCAATCCTCCCAAAACCCACAAACAGCCCAAGAACGTTGAAAGGAGACACAAGCCTTTCAATGATCCCGATTGCCCAGCTTGCCTCTGGATGATGAGCGCAGCGGTTTCCCGCGACCAAAGGCGCTCGTACTCCGTCTCCCACCTGCGCAGTTTTTGGCAGCCGCCGAAACCGACTTTCAGTGCACAGCTTCTTTTTTCTCTACTAAGTGCGCGGGATGGGAGATGCCCAGCCGCCTGAGCCGGCCCATGTAGCCGCGCCAGCACCGCTGGATCTGCATAGGGGGGGGAAGTAGCGAGTTTCTTACCACTGCAGGTTCCTTAGATCCTACCTGGAGACCCTAATGAGACTCTAATGCAGTTCTTGCGGGTCGTAACACTACTTCTTGCCATCCTTAAGGTGAACTCGGAGCTCGACCCTTCTCGTCAAGTGCTTGTAGGCATCTCTCTGCTCTGCACTGAGAGAGGCGAACCCCGAACCGAGCACTCTAAAATCTCGAAACTGGAACACACCAAACATCAACTTCGCTCGGGGCCCCTAAAGCCTTTAATCCAATTGGCCTCGACTGCCGCCCACAGGCGCTGCTCCGTCTGAGCAGGGAACATTTTGTGGGGGCCCCTTTGGGTTCTCATGGAGCTTAAGAGGCTGAAAGCTACAACCTCGAAACCTCAAGCTCTCAGCCCGAACTCTTCCGAAGACGCGAGACGCAAGACCTGTTACGAAATGCTTTGCCTCGGGTTGGTTTGAGGGGTGCCACTACCACCACCACCACCAATGTTAACATGCTAACAGGTTCCTTTGTACATCTTCGTACATCTTCGTGCCTTTGTTGACGCCTGCTTTCGTCATCAGCCTAAGCCTCGGAAGGCCTCGAAGTTGAAACCTGTGCCGGGAAACCGAGCCCCAAAACACCCCCAACACCCCCAACACCCCCAACACCCCCAAACACCCCCAAACACCCCCAACACCCCCAACACCCCCAACACACCCCAACACCCCCAACACCCCCAACACCCCCCGCTCAAAGTGGGAGAGTGTCAGGACGAGAGCCGTGCCTGGATGGCCTCTCGCCACATCCTTTGCAAAAGCACTCGCAAAGGCTCACAAAAGCTTTGAAAGTGAGGCTTAAGACGCTCCCCCCATGCCTCTGCCTTTCCAGCCCCTTACAGAAGCCTTCTGCGGTAGCTGCGAAGCCACTAGCCAGCCATCGGGAAGAAGAGCCCTGAAGCCCCAATTCCATCCATTCCTGCGCACCTCCCCGGACACTTGGACACTCGGACACTGGCCTCAGCCTCACGAGGTAGCCACGGGCATAGCGCCTAGGAGCGCAGCCAGCTGCATCGAAGCAGGGCCAGCTGAAAACCGGCCCATAACCCAGTGGCCAGCCCTCACCCTATTACAAACCCCTCAAGTTGGCCCTCAAGAAGCTTAAAACCCTGCAGCCGGAGGGGCTGGAGGGTGACAACGGAGTCCACGTGGTTGAGGAACTCCTCCGGGCTCCGACAAACTGCTTTGATCTAACTTGAATCCTTCAGCGGTAAAACCTTTAACCCTCCGACCTTAAGAAACCCCCGAGCATCTAAGCTGGACGTGGTACGGAGGTGGGTTGGCGAAGATGGAAGACCGAGGGTTGTGGTTTTGCTGCCGTATATCTTGAAACCTACATCGCACGCTGTTCTGGGGTTGGACCACGTAGCGTTAGACGCCGCTCCCCCGGCTAACCCTTTGTGGACAGCAAATGATCAGGGGACGTGATCCGCGGGGTCAAGAAGCTGGCAGTGGCGCTCCGGCCAACCTTGCCAAAACCTGCCTGGATCACTACTGCTGGTGCGAAGCCGGTCTCCCCCGTGTCTAGAGATAAATATTCCTTCGTGTGTTCACAGAGAAACAGGAATACTTGTTCTCGATTCTTCGGAGGATGGAGGGGCGAGGGGGGGTGGTGGAGGGGGGAGGGGGGGGGGAATTTCTCCTGCCGTAGCTGCACGTAGCGCCGCCGGTAGATGTAGCCCAACCTAAGAGCAACACCATCCTAAAGCACGGGGCGTTCCGACCCAAGCCTATCAAAGGGAACACCGGGGAGTTTTTCTACGCATGGCTATATGAATAGACATATATCTATATCATCTCTGGTGTGGGGTCTGTGTAAGTTGTCCCTATGCTTGCCTCGGGCCTTCAAAAGCCATGTTCCGCAACAGAGGGTTTTGGGGCTTCTTGGCTGTGGGGGTGTATCTCAAGACTCTCAAAACGTCTAGGAGCCCTGAACTCTCAACCCGGGGCGTTAGGGCTTGGGTTTATGCAGGGTTCATTTAGTTAGGTGCCCATTTTGGGTGATAATACCACCAGTCAACTCATTAGACGATTATTCCTATACTCCCCCCTACACCTCACCAACTATATCACTACTACTGCCCCATTAGCAATACCAGTATAGGAATAACCGATTACCTCATCCATATAAGAGGATTATTCCTATACTCCCCCCTACACCTCACCAACTATATCACTACTACTACCCATTGCCAATACCAGTATAGGAATAACCAATTACCCCATCCATATTCCCTAAGGTGGTATTATCATCCCGAAATGGGCAGAGGTTCTCTCATAGATTTTACTAGGTTTGGTTTCAAAGGTTGTAGTCATAATAGAATTGCATTCCATAAGCTCTTATGAAATGTGATTACATTATACTTATGCTTTTACCTCACGTTTCCGTTTATCATTGTACGCTTTCATTCCATCAAGGCATTCACAGCAAGTAACCGTGGTTCTATACTGCATTAAATACTTACCCGTTTTGCAATGATAATATCTTTTGAAATGCACAAAAATCTTCAACTTCTTACATCTAACACATTGCCGATCACAATGGGAAGGGTAATGCTCAGTATTAAAATCCATGGTTATCTTATCAACATATATTGTCATATTATTTTATTTTACAATATTTATCATAATTTGTTAATTATGACAAACATTGTTTCAAACTAATTAACCATTACCATGTTCTTTTAACATGCTTATGGAAGGCGCACTGGGGAAATGGGAGAAATGCTGTATGTGGGCGCTGTCATTCTATAAGTAAATCACTCTTTACAACATTATTTTAGCAACTCTTCCAGCTGATAAAACTCAAACAACAATTTAAATCGCTTCTTATATTCTTCATAATGATAATGATCCTCTAGTTCATCTATAATAGCACTTGATCTGGCGTTATACATTCTGATATTTCTTCTTTCCACCAGCCAATCTGCTTTATTTTCTTTGTTTTCTTTCTTAGGAAACAAACAATCCATATTTATATTATTATACAATTTTCTTATCAATTTTAAACTTCAACTCTTCAATCTCTACTTCCAATCGTTCTATGTCTTTCTTAATACATTCAATGTCTGTCTCGGTCATTTCTATTCTCTGTTCGCATTCCTCGGGCGCTATACCATGAGTTCCAAAACCAGTATCACATATTTCAACACTTCCTGCTTGATTATCATTTTCGAATATGTGGTTTTCATCGGGTGATACATGTCCTCCAAATTTCATATTACGCCTGTCTCCCACAATGTTCGTTGTTATTATGTTATTTTCTTTGGCTGTTTTTGTTTCCTTATGATAAGATTGTCTTTTACAACTACAAGGGATACAAGATACACCTTCAGAATTAATGAAAAAACCTTTCTTCTTATAGCTTTCATCGCTTTTATCGCTCATTTATATTGTTTACATTTTTCAACATTTTTATATAAAAAAACAAAATGCCTTAAGAAAATCCAACAAACTACGACAACACACTCTATATCTTGGAGTTTTTATTATTTCATCAAGTTTCTCTATCTCATTTGTTACCTCTATACACCGATCCATACATATATAAATGATACAATTTCTAACTAGTCTTCATGTTAGAAGATATTCCTAAAGTAGAACCTATAGACGTACCCAAATACAATTATAAGAACAGTAAATACGAGATGATGCCAAGTCTACCAGCAAGAATGTTATGTGTTGCTTCTTCAACAGGTGGTAAATTTGTTTTAACACAAAATCTAATATTGAAGATTTACCGAGGTTCTGTTGAGAGAATATACATTGTTAGCCCTAGTGTGCATGTGGATGACACATGGAGAGCAGTCAATGAAAGTTGATACCGAAAAGGAAAAAGTATATTATGAAGAATACGATCCAATTGCATTAAAGCATATAATAGAAACACAACACAAGGTAATAGACTTCCAGAAGAAGAACAAACAAAAGGAATTATTCAGTATTTTTATAGTTGCGGACGACTTTGCCGATGATCCTAAATTTGTAAGTTACTCCAATATCTTGCATGGATTGTTCACACGCGGAAGACATAATGCCATCTCATGCATTTTATCAACACAAAAATATAATGCCTTAGCACCTATAATAAGACTTAATGCCTCAGCACTTTTCATATTCAGACTGAAGAACATGAACGAGGCAAATAGTTTCCTAGAAGAGAATAGCGCCCTCGTAGACAAGCGAACACTTAATGACATGTATCAACAAGCGGTGAATTTTGCACCTTACTCGTTCTTTTATATAAACACAAATGCTAAGGATGTGAATAACATGTTTACACTAATTTGGAACAGCGCTTTGAAATAGGCGATTAAAAATATTATTTCATTATTTCAAGTAATAATATAATTAGTCACGACTTCGTCCTGAGGGCGAACTTCGTTCGCCGTCACGGCTTCGCCCTGAGGATGCTTACACGCATGCAGACAGTACAGGTGAACACTTCAAATGGTTCACAAAAAAAGGCGCTGATAGAGATAGAAAAATATATGTATATGTATATGTATATGTATATGTGTATGTGTATGTATATGTATATGTATATGTATATGTACATGTATATGTATATGCACATGTATATGTATATATATATATATCTGCATACGTGAATGCATACATATGTATATAAAAGGATATCAAGATGGCGCCAACACACTCTTCAACGGCGCCACTAAAGGCAGCCCTGCGTATGTGTGTGAAACGAAGGAGGACGTACATAGATAGTGTATTTATGCTATGTAAGAAGCGACCATGTGTTATGTAGATAGAAAAAACACAAACACAAAATTATTCACTCCCCGGAGCCCCTGGCATCCGGGTCGTGATGGTCTTCGTCCTCCTTTGGGCGTCTTCTTGGAAGAGCCATGTAAAATTTCGCCTTGGCCTTAGCCTGGGCCTTGGCCTTGGCATGCGCCTTTGGATTGGCTCGTGCCTTTGCACGAGCTTCCGCCA